AAGAGTCCATGTGAAAATACACGGCTTTCAAGAGTAGTTTGGAAAGTGGTATTTGTTTGGAAAAAGACTAATTGACTATTTAACAAATGAGGGGTATAATCTATTTGGTTAGTTGAGTGATAATGTATTCACTTTTTAAAAACTTCTAAAAACTAATGAGAAGATGCATTTGGGATACCAAAATTGCTAAGTACGGAGAAGGTTTTGGGGCGGAGGAAGCATGTCATATTCTTATAAGGGAGTCAATGATTTCTTTTCGAATTCAGAGTAAATACTACTATAGTAAATAACAATAATTTTGTGGAGTTTCATGAATCTTGTTTTGGGATTAAAAGGATCGTACCCATGTTTGGGAATATGATGTACTCCATGTGTGTTAATCCTATTTATTTATTTCTCCAATCATCTTTAAACAGCTTCACGCTCATGAAGTGTACTACACTTGAACAAATTGCAATATGAACAATTCTCGAATAATAATAAAAATTTATTTTAAACTCTTGTTGTTACAAATTATTATTATTATTATTATTATTATTATTATTATTATTATTATTATTATTACTATTATTATTATTATTATTATTATTATTATTACTCCCTCCGTCCTAAAACTTTCTTCCCACTTTCCCTTTTTCTCCGTCCTAAAACTACCTTCCCATTAGAAAAAAGATGACAAATGACATTAATACCCTCATGTATTTACACCAATTATCTTCTAACTCTATATTTTGAATGATTTAAAAAAAAAAAAATTCAAAAAAACTTTTTTTAAGGAGGATAAAATTTGAAGTCAAAGCCAAAAATTAAAAATGGGGAAAAGTCAAACTGGGAAGAAAGAATTAGGACGGAGGGAGTATTATTATTATTATTATTATTATTATTATCATTATCTGCATCATCATCTTCTTCATCATCATCATCATAATCATCATCATCACGTTATCTTAGTAAATGTCTTTAAGATATAAAAAAAGTATTGTATTTTTTAAATACAAAAAACTACTTTTACCAAAAGTAAATTTTAATATAAAATTAGCATAAATATAAAAATATTAAATTTTAAAAAGGTTAAGTAGTTATATTGCAACTCAATTTATTTTTACAAATACATTATTATAAATAATGTATTTGTAATTATAATTTATATATTAAACCATTTAATTTTAAATATCATACATGTCACATAATCAAACATATTGTTTCTTTAATGATTGACATTTTATTTTCATTGAAATCCTATTTTTGGAAATAAGACATAGAACTTTTTTGTTTACATTTTTTAATGTTTTACTCATATTTTAGTCTTTTTCTCTAAACTCTTCTGACTTAAAATTTTTTTTATAAAAATTAGGAAAATGAGCAATTTTAAGTAATAAAGAAAAAACTGAGATGTCTTATAAAAAGTTATATTAATAAAACATTCAATGTAACTATTTTATCCATATTGATGATTATGATTATGATGATGATGATGATAATGATAATGATAATGATAATAATAATAATAATATTAATAATAATAATAATAATCACATTGAAATATACGGAGTATTATTTTTAGAGTAATTGGTTGAGGAGTCGAAAGAATTTGAAGAAAATGAAAAAGGTTGGAATAAACTGGAAGGAATTGTAAGAAACTGGAAGAACTGGAAGATTCTGAAAGAAACTGGAAGAAGTTGGAAATTAGGAGTTCCACCGTTAAATTTTGGAAAAAATTTACAAAAATTAGAAAAAATTAGAAAATTCAAAAAAACTTTGAAAATTTTTTTTGTGTGTTTTTATCTTATTCTTATTTTAATTCTTGTTGTTATAAATTATTACTGTTGTTGTTGGTGGTGGTGGTGGTAGTGTCACCACGTTATCTTAGGGCCTATTAGGGAATAGCATTAGAAATTAGTGTTAGCGTTTTGGATAAAATTTTAACGGTGCAGATTATTTTGAAAACGTTAAACGCTGTCTGTAGATAGCCTTAACAAATACTAACGCTAATCGCTAAAGCTATTCTCAAACAAGCCCTTAATAAATGTCTTTAAGATAAAAAAAATATTTTTATTTTTCATACAAAAAAATACTTTTGAAACAAAATTGATTAGAATATAACATTACCATAAATATCAAAATGTAAATACTTAAACTAGAAGAAAATAGGAAAAAATCGAAAGAAATTAGAAAAAACTAGAAGAAACTAGAAGGAACGGGAAGGACCTAGAAAAAACCGGAAGGAATTAGAAGAAACTTGAAAAAACTAGAAAACCTAAAAAAACTTTTAAAATATTTATTTTAAACTCTTGTTGTTATAAATTATTATTATTATTATTATTATTATTATTATTTTTATTATTATTATTTTATTATTATTATTATTATTATTATTATTATTATTATTATTATCATTATCAGCATCATCATCATCATCATCATCATCATCATAATCATCAACATAATCATCATCATCACGTTATCTTAGTAAATGTCTTTAAGATATAAAAAAATATTGTTATTTTTTAAATACAAAAAACTACTTTTACAAAAAATAATTTTTATATAAAATTAGCATAAATATAAAAATATTAAATTTTAAAAAGGTTGTGTAGTTATATTGCAACTCAATTTATTTTTACAAATACATTATCATAAATAATGTATTTGTAATTATAATTTATATATTAAACCATTTTGTTTTAAATATCATGCATGTCACATAATCAAACATATTGTTTCTTTAATGATTGACATTTTGTTTTCATTGAAATCCTATTTTTGGAAATAAGACATAGAACTTTTTTGTTTACATTTTTTATGTTTTAGTCATATTTTAGTCTTTTTTTCTCTAAACTCTTCTGACTTATAATTTTTTTTTTATAAAAATTAGGAAAATGAGAATAAAGGAAAAACTGAGATGTCTTATAAAAAGTTATATTAATAAAACATTCAATGTAACTATTTTATCCATATTGATGATTATGATTATGATGATGATGATGATAATGATAATGATAATAATAATAATAATAATAATAATAATAATAATAATAATAATAATATTATTATTATTATTATTATTATTATTATTATTAATATTAATAATAATAATAATCACATTGAAATATACGGAGTATTATTTTTAGAGTAATTGGTTGAGGAGTCGAAAGAATTTGAAGAAAATGAAAAAGGTTGGAATAAACTGGAAGGAACTGGTAGAAACTGGAAGGAACTGGAAGAAACTAAAAGAAACTGGAAGAAAATGGAAATTAAGAGTTCCACCGTTAAATTTTGGAAAAAATTTAAAAAAATTAGAAAAAATTAGAAAATTCAAAAAAACTTTGAAATTTTTTTTGTGTGTTTTTATCTTATTCTCATTTTAATTCTTGTTGTTATAAATTTTTATTATTGTTGTTGTTATTGTTGGTGGTGGTGGTGGTAGTGTCATCACGTTATCTTAGGGCCTGTTTGGGAATAGAATTAGAAATTAGTGTTAGCGTTTTAGATAAAATTTTAGCGGTGCAGATTATTTTGAAAACATTAAACGCTGTCCGTAAATATCCTTTTCAAAGCACTAACGCTAATCGCTAAAGCTATTCTCAAACAAGCCTTTAATAAATGTCTTTAAGATAAAAAATTTCTATTTTTCATACAAAAAAAATACTTTTGAAAAAAAATTGATTAGAATATAACATTACCATAAGTATCAAAATGTAAATACTTAAAAGTTATTATGGTTATGCAACATTTATCATAAAATAATATATATGCATTTATACATTATATATTACAAGATTTTGTTTTAAATATAAGACATGTCACATAATGTAATCAAACTTATTTTTTTAAGGATTAAAATTTAATTGTCATTGTAACCCTACTTCTAGAATAAAGACATAGAACTTTTTTTATATTTTTTATGTTTTATTTCTACTTTAGTCATTTTTTGCTAAAGTTCTATGACTTTTAATTTTTTTTTTTATAAAAATTAGAAAAATAAAAAAAATTAATTTTTGAAATAAATAAAAAAGAGAAAAAATTGAGTAAAAAGGTATAAATATTTTGTTAGTTGTATAAATTGACTTTCATAAGTATAAGTTTTTTGTTAGTAGTATTGTAATTATTGATGATATTATTTGTTAAAATATTGTAGATTACAATATTGATGTTTATCTTAAATAAATTTAGATTAAAAAAACATTTTATGTAACTATTTTATCAATTTTTTTAAATAGTTTAAAATATTAATGTTTTCCTATTTTATAATGCAGATTAAAAAAGTAGTATTATTTATATTAAAAAGTTGAAGAAAAAATAATAATGAGTGTGAATAATAAAAACAGTGACATGAAAAAAAAGAAATAATTTATGAACTATATTTATGAATATTATAGTTGTAATAATAATAATAATAATATATTGTTTTTATAGTGATTTGTGAGAAAGTAGAGAGAGTTTGAAGAAAATAAAAATAGTTTGAAGAAACTGGAAAAAATTGGAAGGAACTGGAAGAACTGATAGAAACAGGAAGAAACTAGAAAAAATAGAACAAACTGTAAAAAACTGAAAAGAACTAGAAGAAACTAAAAATTAGGAGTTAAGATAGAAACATGCCCTTCTTGGCTTCTACAAACAAGGCATATCCACCTCTGCCTTGATCGCATTGAGGGGTTATAAGGATCCTACTCTCTCCTCTTCACGTTCTTGCTCCTCTATTTCTTCCATCAGTGCCGAGAGTTTTGCCTTTTTCAGGCACTTCCTTGCCTTATGTGGACACTCATAAAAGAAGCATTTTAGTGGAGGTCTCTCTCCAACCTTGTACTTCTTGGCTCCCTTCGTCTTCTTGATCGTTTCTTTGCCTCGGTCGTGATCTCCCCCACTCTTTTCCTTTCTGTCCTGATCCTTTGGCTTTGTTTTTTCAGGCTTCTTGAACAGGATAAGGGACTCGACAATGGAAATGGCGGTGGTTAAGTCTTGAGCACCATGTCTTTGAATCTCAAGTCTAGCCTATTGCTGCAACCCATCCATAAAGGCAAAGAAAGCTTCTTTATCAGGGTAGTCTAGGATTTGAAGAAGTACCTCGGTGAACTCATTCACGTATTCTCGTATGCTTCCTCTATGTTGAAGTCGCCTTAACTTTCCTTGGGCCTCCTCGTCTACATTGCTAGGGTAGAACTAGCTATTTCTTGAGTTCACCCCTAAACTCGACCGAAGTGTTTATGGTGCACGTCCCTTTCTCCATATCCCCTTGTCTCCTTCTCCACCACACCATGGCGGTGTCCTCAAGAAAGAGACTTGCCATATCAACTTTCTATTTCTCTTCGGAAATGGCAAGAGCTCGGAAATATTGTTCCATGCTCCATATGAAGTTATCAAGTTCTCGCGCATTCCTTGACCCTTTGTAGGACTTGGGTCGCGGAATATGTAACTTAAAAGATGAAGTCCTTAGCTCGAACGTTGATGCACTACCTTGTGCAAAAGCCTTCTTGCACAACACGAGCTCCTCCTTGACGCTCTCCAACTTACGGGAGCTAGAGTCTCTCGAGCTCTTCTCGTATTGAAGAAACCTCAATCTTATGAGACTCTTCCATGGCCTTTTGGATTTGGTCGAGACATTGAGCAAAGACTTTATTTATGGCGTGGCTTGCGTCTTCTCACAGAACTCATCCATGCCTTGCCTCATCTCCTCGAAATTCTCCTCCCCGTCGGCGATGGCAATTTCACCCCTTGCTAGCCTTGTTTCAAAAGCGTCCATGGTCTCCCTTGAGCAAGATCTCTAGATCTTGGTCTTCTTCTCGCCTCCCTTGGTCACGTTGGTAGACTCACTTCCACCTTTCATCTTCCTTCAAATCTTGTGCTCCGATACCAACTGTTACAGACTTGGTCGTAATTCCAATGAACCGTGAGACCTAGCAAACTTCTTCCCTAAGTTGTTAGTTAGCCTACTCTAAGACTTAACAGAATATCAAGATGCTAAGTATGAAGGAACTCAGACTCCAAGAAAGAACTTTGTATTACTTTCTATTTTTAAAATTTGCAATGCTTCCCACTTCTTAAGTGAATGAAATGAATGAGGGGAGGGGTATTTATATTTCTCCACCTCCTAATGAATGACTAAGATCTACTTGATTTAACGATTACAATTGAGTGTCTAGAATACTCTACACAAATATCTAAGATATTTGTAAGACTATATGATATCTCTACACTACTCCATAATATTTCAGAACCTTCCAAGCGTCACTAGCAAGGCTCCCATGTTTCTAGAGAATTCCTTAGTCTTCTAGACTATGGCGGATACCTCGGGACAATTCTTTGGACGGATCCGACCATCTTCAAACAGATCAAGTCGAGTTTGAGTCTCGAGCCTCCACAAATTTATTTGGGCGAACAAAGCAGTGCTTCACATGGCATTCCAATGGTAGTGTGCAATATGAGAGCACTACTATTATTTATGTACTTCTCCCACCAACCAGTCGACCATAATATAATGTGTATCGATGCATAGATTGGACTTTGGATGATAAGAAAATCATTCTCTATGGTGTTTTTTTCGAAATGTAAAAAAACTTGCCCAAATGCAGCATTAAAGTTAGGTAGGAAATGTACCCCAAAAAAAAGGTGGGTAGGAAAAGTATTGGAATCTTGCGGTACATTGTCACATGGGGCATTATCACATGCTCCATCCTTCCACATTTAAATTATCCATTTCAATTTACAAGCATACTACCATTTTCTTTGCGATCGACAAGCTCCCCTGCAATGACTAGCACGAACCAAACCCCATCGTAATGGAACAAACCCAAAGAAGAAGAAAAAGAAGAAGAAGAAGCGTAGAACAATGTAAAATCAAGCAAAGCCTTTTTTCTGTCCATTATATTCTCTCTGTAAGTGAAAACTAATCACATTAGCATTCAGTCACAATAAACAACCGATCTATACAAAACGCCTCCACCAAACCTTTTAGCCTATAATAATTGAATAAGCCCCGAAAAAAAGAACGCAAAAAGAGAATAACATTAACAACCAAGCCTCCCCCCTCCACCTACCTAAAAATGACAAAAAAATAAATAAATAAAGAGATTAATTATTAGAGAATGATGTACTGGTATGTTACTATGATGACGTGAGGGAGCCAATGAATACGGTTAGACCTCAATTCGATATTTTGTCTCCCTCAGATCAGCAATACTTCGCCTGACCTGCTCACCACGATACTCAAGAACCTGAAATGATCAAAATTCTTTTTGGGTGGCTGAATTCAACAGTTTATGTAGAAAGGGGGATATCTCAACATCCCGCAACACGTATTGCCATAAAATTGACCATTTAGGACCAGTAACCAATATTAAATGAGACCCTCTAGTGTGAGTAAACATCCATCAATTTCCTACAACATGTAGTAATTACATGATGACACTAGCATTATTATATAACATCCCCTCAGTGATATCTAGTCTAATGAAACTGTAACTGTTGACAGCCACAAATACTACACAATATGATAAGGTAGACAAATGTTTGGCACAAAAACTAGCTTAAGAGTGTACCATCTCTCCTTCTGGGATGCTTCGGCGCGCAAAAAGACCCCATCTGTGTATCCCAGAACGGCCAAAGCAAACTCGATCGTTTTTTGTTCTCTGTGGATCCACAAAAGCAAAATGGCCCAGAGGTTGGATATCTTTCGTTAAAAAATTGACCAATGCAGTATTGACTATTAAACTTTGAACACGATGACCTAAATGCTAGATATTCATGCCTGTAAATGGCGAAGCCGCTCCCTAAAAGTAGAGAATGTTTTAGGCTCCTCTGCTTCCTGTTAAAGGAAATGTAAGAAACATCATGCTTCTAAGGCTAAAACTGGAAAGAAATGGAAATAGGACAAGAAGGAGGTCTACTTTTATTGGATTCAAGCTGCGTATTTTAGCAAAAGAATGACGACGTGGACCCATCACTCGGTGGAAAATGGCTTCTTCTCCTGTTGTCTGAAAAAAATAAAAGCAACTTTAATCAATAGCATTCTAACGACATACTCTGTATTACATTACAAGTATTAGAAGTCCATTGTGGACTGCTAGTCACATTAGCAGGATGGATAGTGTTGAATGTTAGACAATTACACTCTTTAGTTGTGCAAATCAAGCTATAAAACAATCCTAACTTATACACTGAATCACTGATCTAGGACAATTAATCATTTACAGTCTATATTAGTAGATTTTCTCACAGGTATAACCGTTAAGGATTTTGCTCACAAGTATAACCGTAAAGGATTCCCAAAACCTATCTCAACACTTTGCCTCAAATAGGAGGATAAAAGTATATATGTCCTAAAATAGCTTAAGATAAATAAAAATCCTCTACAGCTGTAGATTAGCTGATTAAGCTCACAAAATGGCTTCTCAATAAATCTAAAAATAACTGCAACCAATCCAGCTATGTAAAAGGGTAGCCGATTGTTACGGACGCATTAACAAATGTAAAAGAAGAAGATATTGATCCTTGCCCATGGCCGGAAGGAGGGGAGAGCAGTCTATGACTAGCTTCTCATAAAAAAGTGTTGAATTTATTAATTTATCAATGGTTGTGCGAGTATAAATCGGAAAAAGCCTTACAATAGACCAATCATAATCATACTAGAAAACATAATTCCTTATTTATACCATTAACTAGAATACGACTAATAAGATACTATTAATATTCCTATGAATAATAAGCTAATAATATAATTATTAGAAAACTAATAATAATAATAATAATAATAATAATAATAATAATACGGAGTAATAATAATAATAAGATTAATAATAATAACTAAATATTAAACTATAGATCTGTAACATCAATCCCTCCCTCGAATTTGAGCTTGTCAGCAAGCTCATGCTAGAGAGACACAATCTTCACTACCCATTCAGTGGGTCTTCCCCTGCCCTAGAATAACTGCATCAAGAGTAACAATTTGCCCACCGGTTCGTATTCCAGGGGTGGCTCAAAACGGTTAACACAAAGTTCATTAAAGAATGTCTCATCCCACGTGCTTTCTTCTATCATATCATCCAACTAAAAAAGGTGTGTGTTATCCAGCAAGGGGAATAATGAAACAATACCAAATTGATCTTCGTCTTTTTTTTCTGTGATGTGAAAAACTTCTCTCATCACTGCCAACTGATCGGATCAAATTTCCAGCGAAAGTTGAAAATTCTATCTTGGCATATTGAGGTCGCAGAACTCCCTCAGAACCGCTGCAGAAATCCTCCTTGCGGATATTTTCGTCATGGTAACAGAATTTCTCAGAATCCTTCTCTCACATTTTCCACTTCTTATAATAATAAAAAAATCCCTAAATCCCTGATTTAGTTAGCAGTTAGTGGCCCTGAATTAGTTAGTTACTCTGCATGAGGAGTCCTACCCAGAGCTCTAAATACTATCTAATCTACTTGAACAGTTCAGCATTTGAATTATTAATGTGGCAACAGAATTCCCTTCTACCAACCCTCTCCTTCTCTCCTACTCCCTTCTTGATATCAAGATTTTCCTTAAATGTTACAAAGGCATATCATAAAAGAGATTATGAAGCCATGAATTCCCTTCTACCAACCCTCTCCTTCTCTCCTACTCCCTTCTTGATATCAAGATTTTCCTTAAATGTTACAAAGGCATATCATAAAAGAGATTATGAAGCCATGAATTGAGATCAGCAACATTAAGAACTATTCACAAAAAGTTTGCTTTAATTAAAGATGTCCTCTATACCGCATGTCCACTCGTTTATACCTTATTCCTCAGGCGTTTAAAGGCACGACATCTTGCTGCTGAAAATGGTTCAATTTCATCACCCTCAGCAGCGGGAATTTCCTCAAGTTCCAATCTGGTTGTTGCAATTAATCATGAACCTGTGTGTTTGGTCTAAGCGAGGCTTCTAGCAGAGAAGACTCCTTTTGGAGTATGTATGATTAAAACGGTATCGAGATTTGGAGCCCTGTAAGAAGACGATACAAATTAAAAATTAGCGCTGCATACATGCAAGTATTGTTGCTGCACAGAATATAGGATGCACTCTTAAGAACAACATGAAGCCCTCTCTCCAAATACAGCATTCATCATATTAACTCTAGTAGTCTAGTTACAAGTACGAGCTCAAAAAATCTCAATTACTCATTGCTGATGCCCTTATATGCATATTATAATCAAGCTAGAGTAAGTGGAACACTACCTGTGGTATGCACAATATGAAACCATTTTTGTTACTTGTTTCCCATTTTTCTCCATGCAATGCAGCTGCTAGTTGATGAACATTGTGAGCAACGATTAATTTAGTATGGTTTCAAAATGGCACAGATCAAAACTCTGGTAGAAACAGATATACAGAACACAAGTACGTGAGACCCCAATGGTACTATTTAAAACAAAGTGAAGAATAGATGGATTGTAATCAGCATTAATATTTCCACATATGCATCTGCAGCCTGCACAACATGCTGGGATTGAGATAATGGAGTTACTAGTTGATAACAGATACCCTTAAACTGGAGATTAACTTTTGAGTTTGACCTTCTCTTTTAAAATGACATGCTCATAACAAAAAATGAAAAAAAAGTATAATTTGCATCAAGCACTTGGTTTTGCATTGTTGGCATTGTGCATATTCTTTACAAATTTAACCCTCAAACTTTTCCATTTTGACAGGCTAATTTTTTGGCTTCATTATCATCTATCTACAATGTAAATAAGACATTTGTGTCAATGGGACTTGTTGTAAGCATTTGACACAAATATGTCATAAAGCTTACGTGCAATGCACCTTTATTGTACAAGTGTTTACACATATGTATAAAAAATATAAAATATATAGTGACTCTTTCTGGATACATTTTATATCCCATCACAAGCACAACTTCGATAAAAATGATACTCCCTCCGTGTTTGAAACAATCTGATGGTTTGACTTCAATGAAATTAGGAACGGTGCTGAAAAGATGGGAATAATTGAAAACTGTGGTTGAAATTGATATGGAAGAGAGAGAATTAAAGATGTCCACATAATCGTTTCCTAAAGAGAAAAGTGGAGGAGAGTAAAGTTAATTTTTAGACATCCCTAAAAGGAAAGTGTAAAGTTTCAAAGACAGAGGGAGTAAACTATTACTCTAAGTCCCATAAAAAGATTCCAGTATTCCACATTTCCTTTATAGTTTGTCCCAACAAATTAAAGTTTCCCTTACCTTTTGAGGATAGAATTGTGTGTTTCAAACAATTTCTCTCCTCTACAAAACACAACCACAAACTTTCACCTATATTAATAATTGTACCACTGGAACCTTATTTTGGGATGAAGTGAGTATCACGAAGCAGTGCAAGAAGCACTTCAGATTATTTGGGTTATCCAAGAATATATGTGTGGGGTTGTGACACACTGATACACTACTTAAGAGCTAAAATGAAAAATCTTATGACAGACTAGCTTATCCGCAGCCATTCAACAAAAAAGAAAACATCACCTCCATGCGGTAACCTGCCCTTGATGCACAAATAGCATGATAATAGGTGGAACACTTGCAACATTGTGTGCAGGAACAATGTATTTGCTTGCACACAACACATATCTGTATTAATAGATTGTAGATATATTAATATAGCCAAGCAAACATCTATACCAAAACCGCAAAATGCAGAAAAAGAAGTAAAATACTAAAATGTAACAACAACAAAAACAACAACAAAGCCTTATCCCATTAGGTGGGATCGGCTACATTGAAAAGAAGTAAAATGTAACAATTGAAATTTTAAAAATAAAAGATTAAATACTAAAAAAAGTTATAAATACAAATTTAAGCTTTATCTAAGAAATTCATCCACTTGATTCCAAATTTTCTTCCACCTAATTATAATATTCACATCCATCCACCAGTGCAAATAAAGTGGAGCAATATTTGATAAGTTATCAGAGAATACTGTTCCAAATAAAAATATGAAACTCGATATCTAGATTGCGGTTTCACGTTAGTACCTTAACAAATGAATTTGAAGGAATTCTCAAGATTCCAACAGCTGGTTCCATTTTCTCATCACTAGCAAAGCACACTTCAGGTTGAAACCAAGCACAAGTAACATGAACCCACAACTGAGCCACATCTGTGGGTTTTAAAGCACCCCCTGTCGTGCAACAGAAAAAGGTTAGCATAAACTTAGACAAGATCACTAGTAAAACCACGTATATCTGTGAAATATAAAAATGAATAAATAGTCCACTAGTGCCCACTAGTACCCACAAGTAATTAGTAGGGTGAGGCCGTGAACCAATATATATGAGTACAATATTGTCAAAAAACAAACGAAAATAGAAACTTTTTTCTTTTAGTGTTTGCTCATGTTTCTTCTGTACACCAGATGTTCTTTTACAAAGGAATACAAGCAAGAGTATCTTTAGAACCTATCTCCTTCTGAGATTCTTAAAATTCAAGACACGGGGAAAAAAGGGAAACACACCTTTCACAGGACAAAGGCAACACTCCCGCTCGATATCAGGTGTCTCACATGCTCTACAAACCCATGATGTGAAATCACGGAGATTTCGTGCTCCATAGCATTCTTGATGCACAGCTATTTGACACCTGAAAAATGAAAATACAATTGGTCAATAAAATTGTTAGATGTTCAGATATTACTTCCAAGAATGTCACTAGAACAATATCACAAATGCAAGATTGTCATTTAGCCAACCCCAAGTTTCTTGGGACTTAAGGCCTAATTGTTGTTACTAAGGAGGAAACATTATTATTGCTCCCTTTGTTCGTATTTCTGTCTAGGTTGACCACTTCTCTTTGTTCCTGCGTACCTTTCCCTTTATGAAATTGAAGCATATAACCCCCCCCCCCATTTTCCCTTCTTACACTATTTGATTTACTCCCCTTTCATGTAGAAACGCTAATGATAGTGCCATTAAATGAGGTCATTTCTGACAAAGTACTACTTGGGTATGAGTTTTGACTATCATGAGTATCATCCCAATTCATTTTCTTGAACAGTGCTTTGGTTGGTCAACCTAGATAAAATAGGAAGAAAGGCATTTAAAAAAGAACATTCTTTTTGTCAAACCTATTGCAAATGATGATTTTGTTATAGTCCCATTCTTCAACCCATTGACATACTGCACATCTTTTAATTTATTATTTTTACCCTCCTCCTTTTATAATCGTTTCGAGAAGACTTTCATAAACCAATCCTAATCTTCGCCTAATTAGAGTAATTAAACTAATTCCCTTCGTCCACTCCTCGAGAGACACGACACTCGGAGAGAAAACTAACCCTTTACTTGGAAGGTTTACTACCCGAAAAACTACAACTGTCAAATGGCGCCGTTGCTGGGGAGTGGCACGGCATTAGTTTAATTTCTTCTAATTAGCTTGGGTGAAGATTGGTTAGAACGATCTTCTCACTTCTTTTTCACCAACCACCCGTAATAATTATTATGGACAACTCCAGTGGTTATTACGGCCCGCCTTCTTACTACCAATCACCCAACCGCCCTCCGTACCAAACCCACCAAACCTATCACCCGCATCAGAACCCATATGGTGTTGACTACCAAGTCAACAATGGGTCTGACTACTATCCCTACGATGAAGAACCACCATATGATACCCCGTCTAGAAACTTTGGATATTCTCCATACCAAGATTCTGATGGGGATAATTATTATGAACCTCATGGGGACCAATATGACTATGACCAATTTGGGCCTATGTGCGACGATCAACCTGATCCACTCGTCGAAGAAATCTCAAGATTAGAACAGAAAATCTTCTATTTCGACGAACTTTTATTCGCTGAAGGCTCGTGGTACGAACCACCATACTCCCGTGACTACACTTTGTTTGCGGAAGAACAAATTGAAGCAAACAAGGTGGCGATTCGAGAAAGAGCAAAACTTCTTGATTCAGTCCGGAAGGAAAAGGAGTTCGAAAGGAGATTATGCGAAGGATCAGATATGATGCAGAAAATGCTAGATGAATTCCAAAGAGAGAGACTAGAAGCCAAAGCTAAAGCTGATAAACTAGTCAATGATCTTTGTAAGGCTGTTGAACTTAAACGCTCCCTCCAATCTCAAGATCAAATGAGGGAGATTAATGTTCAAAAAGAGGCTCTAGAACCCAAGACCAACCCTGAACCCATCAACCAAGCTACTGTGGTAATGTTACCTGAATCTCTTCCTAGCCAAGTCCCAACTAGCATAGTTGTACATGAGGTGGAACCAACTGAGGGACCTGACTCAGAACCACCTACGCTCGTTCAAGAAAAGAAGGAGGAGGAAGTTTTGCCTACGGCAATAAACGACCATCTCCTTAATTGTGTTGAAGACACACCTCCAAAGGAACCTGTTTTGGAGGAGATAGAGCCCATTACCTGCCCCCAAGATTCCAATATCCAAGAGTCTAAGGAGGAATCTGTTGACGAGGAAATATTGTTCATGGAAAACCCAAATTCGTCTATAGAAATCTGTGCAAATAATGCTTCACCAGTATATTCAGACCAAACTTTATTTGACTACTTACATGACGGGTGTAACCCGATTTGCCCGGAGGATAGTTGGAGCCAAAAGAGTTGGGATGAACTTCTGGTAAGTGACACTGAAGACTCTTCCATAGGGGAAAGCACGGTCTTAATCATCAAACCACAAATGGATAGTCAGCCTATTGAAGATAAGGAAGAAATCAATTTCACAATCAAGGCTAACGATGTGGATCTACTGAGGAGACTTCCACCACCACCCACCTATACCAAGTCTCCTCCATATATCCTGTTGCCACCATGCCGCAGGGAGGAGTCAAGGATCCTGGACCTTGACCGAGCAAAAATTCAAACAGGGTGGCATCAGAAGAGAGTCAGAAGGGCCAAACTTTATGACTCTCGGATCGGAAAGTCGCGGAAAAAGTGGCTAAGGCGTCAAGCTACGGACGTTAAAGAAGCGCTTAACGGGAGGCAACTCGTCATTCAAATAATTAAATTATTCAATAATTTTATTTGTTATTTTTGAGTTTCTACTTGCCGCACCAGTTTTGGGGGCAAGATTTTATGTGTTTGTTTATGTGTGTGCATATGCCTCATCGTCCTTCTTACCCTACTGTGGACCGTAATGAGGTCCAACTGATTGATGCTGCTTCTAGGACGAGGTTCGATGAGTGGGGACACTCATGGGTGCTACACGAGTCTGTGTGTCTAGCTCAAGACACACTGACGGACTATGGCTATCCAGAGGAGATGGAGGAGCTACTTGAGGGGACCAGATGGCAGCGCCTTCTTCAGATGAGGGCAGAGTCTAGCCTACCACTGACCATCGAGTTCTTATGCTCGATATCTGCTGTTCCGGAGATTGAGTCACGATAGATGACTCATAGTTTGATCACTGCTGATACCACATTTGCCTTCACTCTTGCGGGCCAGTCGTTTCAGTTGACAATGAGAGAGATGGCCGTTCGTCTCGGGCTCTACACCCAGGAGGAGACCGAGCAGCCTGAGTTCTACGACAATCCCTTTTGATGTTTCGTTTGATTAGAACTCGAAGGAGAGTTCCAAGCGTTCTGTTGGTGACCTCGGTTTGACCGTCAGTTTGAGGATGGCTAGCGGTGCTGAATTTGAGCTTTGTGCCTAGCTTTCTCCACAATGTCATCCAAAAATGGCTAAGGAATTTGGGATCCCTATCAGAGACCATGCTGCGGGGTATGCCATGGAGTTTAACGACCTCTCGGAAGTAGAGATCGGCTACTTGGGAAGCATCATATGTAGTAACACAAGGAATGAAATGGGCCATCTTTGAGAATCTATCCACAACCACCATTACGGAATCCTTGCTTTGTTGAGTTCGGGGTAGCCCGGTAATGAAATCCAGGCTAACATCTTCCCAAGGGGCGTACGGGACGGGTAAGGGTAAGTGCATTCCTTGGGGTAAGGCTTGGGACTTTGCAAGTTGACAAGTGTGACATCTCTTGATGAAGTGCTAGACGTCTCTCTCCATTTTGGGCCAGAAGTAATGATCTTTCATCATCAAATAAGTCTTGTTGATCCCGAAATGACCGGCTAGTCCACCACCATGGACCTCGTCTATCAGGGTTTCACGAACGCTGCTCCTCGAGATGCATAGTTGATTACCACGAAAGAGGTAACCATCTTTGATTAGTTAATCTCCATGGGGCCGAGATAAGCATTGGGCATACATCTCCTTGAAATCTTCATCATCCTTGTAGAGTTCCTACAAAAATTCAAAACCAAGAAGTTTGGTACTAAGTACCGTTAGTAATAAGTGTCTCCGGGACAATGCATCTGCGCCTTTGTTCATGGACCCATTCTTGTGCCTTATGGTGAATGTAAAGGTTTGAATGTATTCAACCCATTTGGCATGACGGGGTCGAAGCTTGTGCTGCCCTTGAATGTACTTCAACACCACATGGTCGGAGTGAAGGATGAATTCCTTACTCACGAGATAGTGTCGCCAATGCTCAAGAGACCGTACCAACACATAGAATTCTTTGTCGTAGGTAGAAAAGCGTCTCCGTGTGTCATTGAGCTTCTCACTGAAGTAGGAAACCGGGTGTCCCTCTTGAGTTAGGACAGCCCTGATGCCAACTTCCGATGCATCACACTCCACCTCGAACAACTTTTCGAAACTGGGCAGGGCCAATACGGGGGCATGCATTAAGTGATCCTTGATTGCTTCGAAGGCTTGTTGGGCTCTCGAGTTCCACTCAAACTTCGGATTCTTTGTCAAGTCCGTGAGGGGGGCAGTGATCGTACTAAAGTCCTTCACAAATCGCCGATAGAAGGATGCAAGGCCATGGAAGCTTCTAACATGCTGCATTGTTGTGGGAACGGGCCAATCTTGTATAGCTTTTGTTTTCTTCTCATTGACTTTGTTCCCTTCATTTGAGATAAATGATATACCCCAGGGTACACCTTCACACATGCCACTAGTATTAAAAGAAATCAAGTGCTTAATGTCTAGGTGTTATGATCCATTTTGGGTTGAATTCATTGATCCATCCCACACCAAAACCCAAACCATGACCTATCTCTCCCAAAACCCAACCTAGTCCGAAATGCCTACAACCCCAACCCACTCCCACATATCCAAAGTATTTTTACTACTCAAATAAAGCCCTTTTTCCTCTCCCTTGAAGCCCTGGCCGAAATTGAAAGGAAAGGTACAACCCAAAAATAATGTGTGTTGTTTTCTGCCCTAAATATTCCTTTCAGCAAATAAGAACCTTCCCCATCCCTTCCTACTTCAATGTCACGAAAATATGCCCCATTTGTCCTTAAAATCAGTCCCCATCCATCACAAACATTCCCCACTACAAGAGGAACAAACCAGGGGACAAGAAATAAAACATGTCTTTTGTCCTGTTGTGATAATACATCAAACCCACACCCCCTTATGCCCATGGCCGAATTCACCCCTCCCCCCAAATATCCCATTTATCACCCTTCAAATCCACAATAAAACCAAAGGAATGAAGGATAATCCTTAATGTATTATTCCTCAGGTGTGGACCAAAATTCCAGCCCCTCACCTCACCCTTCACATAACCAAACCACCCCCTTCCCTCACCCTTCACATGGCCGAAATCCCCTCATCAAAAACACCCCATATTCATCCTTTAACACTGATCAATGAAGACAAACTAAAGGCATCAAACAAATGGATATTATACACTTGATTCTAGGAAAGTGGTAGGAAGCTTCCCCTTAGTTTTTTCCCCTTATTTATTTCGGCCAAAGGCCTTGTAACGCAGCACCAGATTGTAATTTTATTCCCTTTACTCTTTGAGTAAAATCTTTGAATTAGTGTGAAGCTAGTTCTCCCCATTTCCTAATGAAATATCTCTAAAGTTGGCTACTTTTGAGTGTGTGTTAGGAGTCTATTTCATATAATAGTAGTGAATATTATTGTGTGAAAAGAAATAGCCCCAAATAAAATAAGAGTGTGTTTATCTCTTATTCATTATTTGGTTTATCCTTATACAACCAGAAAACCACCACAAAACTCCCTTTTTCTCTCCCAATTTCGTCCATCCCCTTTCCCCCATTTAAACACTTCATCTCTTCATCAAAAACCACTCCATAATATTGCTTTTCTCTTGCCCTTCATTCTGCCATATCACCTTTTC